CACTATACCGTGCCACACTCAACCACCTTTGTACTGTGCTACACTGTGTTTTTTGTCATGTAGGTCTGTGTGCAAGTTGTGTAAAACAAAAAACATTTGTTAGAAACCGTAGAGGAAAGCGAGTAAGTAAAACATTTTAAACAATTTTTAAACTTTATAAATACCATTTTCTAAGCTGTATTTTTGCAGTGAGCTGCACTTAATGGATGTGGATATGTCCTCCATCACACACCAAAGCTGCCATTTCATGTGCAGTTCATCTGTGAAGTCTGTCTTTGTTTTATGAAATAAGATGCCACAAGCACACAATGAATGAAACCTTTATTTTGCAGAGCAGATTATTAACACACAATGACAATCAACCCCACTGCATGTGCTTTCTATAGGCCTACCTGAGATCCAACTTTTTGTGTTCGTTTTTACCTTAAAAATATAGAAAATAATTTAAATTTGTAGAAAATAACATGCCCTCAATTTCATATTTTCTCCGGTGCACCATAAAATCTATGGAAGAGTAGTCGTTTTGTATCTTTGCATTACATTCATGAAGTAAAAAAAACTCACAAATTTAAATATAATGTCGACATTACAACATGCAAAGCAGTATGGCTTCCTGTTCCTCCTGGATATGGCTTTGTGTGCGGCGCACAGACGGAGCCCTTCATTGGTCCTGTTGTCTTTTCTTACTGTAAAAGAAAGAAAATCACATCAAGCCTAACCAATAAAAACACACCTGCAGCCTTTAGTATGTATTAGATCAGCTGTGTTGACTCCGTGTTACCTTTCCCCTGAAGGCTTGGAGGTCATGACCCAGAGTAAATATTCCTTGGCGGCCATCGAGTCCAGCACCTTGTTCACGTCGCTGGTGAAGCTTCCATCTACGTGCCTCCTGCTGAACGCCTCAGCCCGCCTGTCCATTTCAGATCTACGTATGTACACAGGCACACAATGTAAACGCTAACCCACCATCTGAGCGCTGATGTTTGGCCTGCACTGAAAATCATCAGCTTTTACTTTGGTTAGGTTTTTCACAAGTGAAGAGATTGTTTCTGGTAATTGTTTCATGATCGGTTCATTGCTCGTGTGTTTTTGTAAAGTAACGCATCAATCAACGCAGTGGAAAAGTTCAGGTGATTTATTTTAGCACAAGCACAAGGAACATCAAGAAAAAAAGCAAAGAAGGAGAAAAAAAAGTGTGAAGAAGCAACAAGGAGCAGATGATTAGCTCAAGATCTCTTTGTCTCTCTGTCTTGTCGTCACGGTGGAATCAGACACAAGTCGGCCATTTTAGGAGGGTTGGTACTGAAGGAGGAGGAGGAGGATGAGGAGCAGGAGGAGCAGGAGGAAGGAGAGACAGCCTACTCTCTTCGGACTTGTCCAGACTTGAGCCTGGCAACGAAATCTTTGATTGCCTGGTCGGTGAGGTAGGAGCTGACGTCGCTGGTGAAGGTGCCGTCGGCGTGGCGCTTTTCCACAGAGCTGGAACACAAACCAGAGGAAAGGTGGATATTTGATATAGTTTGATATCCATCCATCATCTCTACACCTTAATCCTCACTAGGGTCACGGGGAGCTGGAGCCTATCCCAGCTGACTCAGGGTGAAGGCAGGTTCACCTGGACAGGTAACCAGTCTATCACAGGGCTACATATACTATGATACGTTTACTTAATGTTTAACATATACGTCAGCTGGGGGGCACATCTCTCTTTATGGTACTTCAGTCTTCTCCAGTACATTTGGTTCACAGCTGGAGTTGCGACAAACTTCTCTGGTTAAAATTTATATTAAAAAAAATTTGATTCATGAATTTTTTGAGCTTTCATGATTTTAAGATTGGCTTCTGATTCCTCACACACCACTGGGGTCAAGTGTCAGATGAGACAAACAGGTTGAAGCCCAAAGAGGATGATCCAGTATTTCAGGAGAAAATAAAGAGAAAACTTTTCTCTCCCATCCTTGCAGGACCTCTCAGATTTATCTGGTGATCCTTTGGATGGGCTCAACATGGATGTGGAACCAAACTGTACATAAAGTCGTTCAGCTTGAGCTCCAGCTGTAAAATACTGGCTACACATGGAGTATTAATATCATACACTGTAGTACATCAGCCACAGAGGTCTTATTTCTAACGCTGCTCTGCATGTATTCAACTAAATGATCTGTAACTGTAAAAGGATTTATGTTCAAGCCAAAGTTCTGCATTTTAAGGATCTCTTTCTGGGTGTCACCACACTGACCCACTCCTCTTGTTGTTCATCAGCCACCGAACAAAGTCCTGCGCCTTCCTGTCCTCCAGGTATTTGCTGTAGTCGTTTGAGAAAGTTCCCTCTGAGTGTCTCTTCACGTTCGACAGCTCCCTGAGCTCATCGGCTAACGTGTTGTCCGCCTCAAAGCTGCAACGAGGAGAACACAGTCGGTACCACGGCATTGGTTCTGTACAGCTTCATACATGTGGCCTTGGAAAGATTGTTTAATATAGAATATACGAAAATTAGTAATGAGTCATTTTATTTTCGGCCTATAATCCCCAATTCACCACGTTTTAACAGCTGGAACACAAATCCTTTTTAAAAAAGCATTTAGCCTATTTGAACTATGACAGTGCTTTTTATAGGTCGTATAATTTATCAGCAGTGCAGCCCTTAAAGAGGCTGCTAATCCTGTGTAACAGCAGTTTCAGAGAGGATTACATCAAATACAATAAAGCAAATACATTTTGATCTGAGAAATATTTCGTTTTATCGCCTTAAAAATGGATTCCAACCTTTCACGAAGCTTTTGTCGTGATCAGGATGAGTAAGAATTTGATTCAACTGATTCTTGTTTCCTCCACAGTGATCTAATCTTTGAAATGTTATTATTCACATTTATAGCATTTTAATGAGAGGATCTACTGTACTGTACATCATCCACTGTTTCAACTCGGAGTAGAAAACAAATGTTTGATTACAAACCAGAGGACATGTCTCACTGTCCTGTGGACCTACAGCACAGATCGTTTCTATCTACATGCATTGATTAACCACAGATTCGTTGGGCTGAAACACACTGTCAGCTCGAACTGTAGAAGAGCTTTCATCATCAATACATCTGACAGTTGTTTTAATCATCATTTAGTGTCAGACAACAGGGAAAACAGCAGCCATTATTCCCTGAAGCCCAAGTGAGCGCATACATGCTGTCATTTATCAAACCAACTGTCAAAATCCTTCATGTTCCTCCCATAGAAAACGTACAAATAATCCCCTTGAGAGGTTAAACATTTAATTTTAATTTCAGCTATACTAGTACTGTAAAGCAATAATATACAGTCTGAGTAGTTGGTTTGGTCTTTGGAGAAACAGTTAAATTGTATTTTGGGTTTAGCAGGAACCCAACAACAGATTGAAGCCTAATGAGCTGCATTAGAGGTGAATCCAGCCACGACTGATAAATAGAAGTTGTCTCATATTTCTTAGAAAACACTCAAATAAAAATGTTCTTTTAAATGCTGCTGTGTAGAATTTCCCCTAGAATAACCAACACAAGAATTTGAATTGTAATTCAGTTAGATTTGTTCTTTCTCTCTTCATGCTGCAGATTGTGTTTCACCGACTTGTTCCTCTCAACAGCCTGTGGTCACCTAACGTAAACCTGGTCAGCTTCAGAATCTGGTGGTACCTTGAGCTGTCATCGGCCTCACTCAGAGGAACCTGCCAGCTGCTCTGGACTAAGCCGAGGACCAGGAGGAGGCCAGCCAGGGAGTAGATGCTGTTCATTGTTGTGACCTGTGACAGGAGACGAGACACATCCAAAGTTTGCCCCGTGCACGAGACAGCCGAAGCCAAAGCTGACACACGACACAACTCACCTTTTCTTTTTCCTTCCCAAACGACGGTGCTGTTAGTTCCTCTGCTTGTTGCTGCTGCGTCTATCTAACCGCCTCCTGTCCTTCTCGGCCTTATATACGTCAAGAGGCGGACGGAGCAGCTCAGGTGGGTCGGTTTTACCACCCTGCCAGGTCAACCGTTTACTCTCGACTCATTAGACGCGGGGCCCTGCTGCATCAGCCGAATCAACAAGCCGAACGTTTGCTCATGAGAGGAAAGGTGCTGTTCATGCGTGATGCCAGCTGGTACTTAGGTGTTAAGATCAAACAAGCGCGGCTCATCCTGTCAAATACAAAGTCAGGTAGATGCTTTAATGTGCTACCGTGTCATCATGACAGAGAGGGATGTGTGTGTGCTGTCATATGCTGTCAGTGTTTGTGGATTCAAAAGATGGGAAGTAGTGATTTTTTTGTGCATTACTGGCAGCTATCTCTGTTTTATAAGGGCCGCTATTCAATAGATGCATAGCTGCTCCTGCTGGACTCCCACATGTCTTATAATGCCGTATATTTTATTGTTGGAAATTCAGACAGGACTGATCGCAGCTGGCCTGGATAACGTGTGCTGTAAAACATGGTTAGCTGATGGAGCTAAATTTAAATAAAGGGAATCGTTAAATTCACCGTCGAGGCCCCAGTGAGTACCTGAACCAAATTCCATAGCAGATCGTATCAAATATTTGTCGATAAATTTCACTAATAACCACTAATAGTCGATGCCGGGGACTAAAGAGGTAAACAGACCCGTCATGTTAATTTAGTTGGATTGTTGTGAGGTTGATTTTTCTGTATATAGACATTGTATATCGGTATTCAAGTGGTTAAATCTTATCTATATCTTCCAAAAGAAATGCTATAACTGAGACTTTGTCTTTTGCCCCTAGTTTACCTGGTGAACCCCAAGAGTCCATCCCAGGTTCTTTTTTTTCTGGCAGTCAAAGCTTCTGCTGGGGTCTGTTTTACAGCTTTCTCTGTCCGGATGATGTGCTGCTGCTGCTGAGTGCATGACGTCACACCAAAGACTCATTCTTATTATCACATTTTTTTATTATTATTATTTTAGAAAATACTTTATACAATAAATCTTATAAAATTAGCAAAACTGTATAAAATCACTTTGGCTTAGTTGTGCTTTTCTGCATCCTTCATATTATTATGTGTATGTTCCTCCTCAGCTCAAGAAATACACGTTAAATGCACACATTGTAAAATATAAATCACGTTCTTATAGATGTGTCACAGGTAATAATTTCAGGTACAGTTTCCATCGATGCTGGTATTTCTGAATGAATATATGCAGGACAAACCCAGACACACCGACACGACCACGTTACTCATTATGTTTTTGTCCCTGAATCGATACAACAAACAAAACAAAACACAAATGCATTTATAATTACATGTCTTCTTTTTTTCTAAAAAAAAGCTTTTTTAATCCACACAGGATAACGACAGATCCAGAGGAATTCACACGAAGCACCTCTGGAGGAAGTGGCTCATGTGGGTGTAGACGTGTTGATTGGCTGCACCGGGGAGGCCGTGATCCTTATCTGTGTACCACTGAGAGAAGAAGGCAAAAAGCGTTCATGAATACTGTGTGTTGTTCGTCCTAACGTCATCGTTTGGATTTTCCAGATTACGTACCATGGCCTCAAAGTCCACCTGCTCCTCCACCAGAGCCTCTGAGATCTCGGCCGCCTGCTGGAAGTGAACGTTGTCTGGAGAAAACACAGACGAATACATCAGCAAGGGTTTCAATGCACAAAGTAGAGGTCAGTCACCATTATGAACAATCCAAACCGTCACTTTCCACCTTGTATGTAGTCTTATTTTCTTTATTTTATCTCCTTTTGCACTGCACGTTATACCATGTATAACTGTGTTTGTGACCAATAATGGCCTTCAATCCTTGACATACTTTTTTAAAATAGCATGGTGTCATAGGCCAAAGCTCATGTGTCAAACTCAAGGCCCGCGGGCCAAATCCGGCCCGCCACATCATTTTATGTGGGAGATGTGTGTTTCCTAGTTTGATAAATGAATGGGATTTATGTAATATAATATAATGTTAGAATGTATGTCGTACAGCAATGTGCCTACATACATGTTTTATCTTTAGGTAAAAGCATGCACAATAGTCATACATAGAATAGGGATATGGACATGTCTGGACTCTGTGGACTGTCGGCTTTGGTCTGAGGCCTGTTGGAGCGTTTAGCATAAAGTAGCAAAGAAATGTGGCGAGTAGGTTGACTGGGTGGCGCTATGTCGATGTCCATGTGTGATAATTCATGTAGTTGGTGTTTGAGATGTGTTTGGGGCGTGTAGAAATGGCCATGTGAGCCTCTGTAAATCCGTTTAGGTTGCTGACGAACTGTTTTCAGGATTTTGGGCACAAAAGGGTTGCTGGCATGTTACATAAACATAAAGACTCTGAATGACTCACCATCAGCCGTTCCATGAATTAGAAGATACTGCACCGAATGGAAATTCTTGGCCCTGCCAGTCACAGTTGAGTTCTGCACACAGTCAGATTTGGAGTTTATAGGTATCAGTAGTAGTAATTACAGGAAGAGACTCTGATGATCCTGAGTGTGACACTTACAGCGTAGAAGTCAGGATTCTGCGACGGCTCCAACATGTAGCGCTCTGTGTAGATGGAGTCTGGAACGGACACGCGTTTAATTACACATAGAATATCATTGGAGTGACTACAGGACACATCATTAAAGCACAATATATACCATAATATTTCCATTTGGAGACTGGAGCCACAGCCATCCCACATTTAAACACTCCACTGCCAGAACCCAACACCATCGACGTCACATATCCACCGTAGGACTGCGGAGGACAAACAGCTTGTTACTGCGGCTCGTCTTGAGCAAAGGCCGAAAACACTGAGAGTGAAACATTAACTGAGATTTAGAGGCATTTACTGCCCTCTGAACTATACAATAACACCCATGTACAGCATTTGAAAGAGGAGCATGAAGATGGTCTGCTTCATTTCTTAGTTTTGCTCTTATCACAAGCCTGACTACTCACCCATCCCCAGATAGCAACTCTGTCTTTGTCGATGAAGCCCATTTTGATGAATTCCCTATAAAAGGAAGAGTTACTGTAAATGAGGGAATGACAGGGATCTCTCATCACAGTCATCACTCACTCATTTCCATGACACTGCATGTGAACGTGAACATTACAGCCCCAGAGACCAGTAAGATGACTTTTATCATGCTTTTCTGGGTAAAAGGGGAACCTGTTTGTCTCAGCTGCTCCTCGCTCTCCTCACCTGGTGGCTGTTATCTGATCTTCCACCTCATATGTTCCCAGACGTTTGTAGAGTTCGTGCATTAACTTGTCGCCCTGGTAACCACTTCCTCTTCCGTCAAAGCTCGCGACGATGATTTTCTCCGTGCTGGCCAGGTAGGTGGCCCAGTTCACCGTGTAGACGAAGTCCGCCGTCTGGCTGCAGGGACCGGCGTACCTGGAGGGATGAGCCGCTTTGTTGTCAGTTATGAACCCTCCTAATAAAACCTTTTTCAATTTTTACTCCTTTTTTAAAATGAATTCTTACACATCTATCAGTAAAGGGTACTTCTTGGATTCATCAAAGCCTGGAGGCAGAAACATCTGGTACCACAGAGCTGTCAAACATGGAAATGAAAGGGCATGAATTAATCAGTCATATCATATTGTTGTGGAAAAGGAAAATATTTCATTTGTTTTTAATTAAAAGTAAAAGTGACGGTCAGACAGTGTTCATGGCAGCGATTCTCTGATGGGTCACATGATGAATCTAAAAGGTTGTGAGAACATTAATGTAGCAGCAAAGACAGAAATCACCATTATGGAGGAATTTGGTGAGAAATATGGCCTGTTTGGGCAGAAACAGTTTCTGAAATGAAGCTTGATGAGTGAAACATGTTGAGTGTAAGCTTGTGTTTTTGTAAAGAGCTAAAGATGAACTGTGTATAAAGAGTGAAGCAGGGACACATTAGTTTGTGGACTGCTGGTATCGCTGTCGCTGTCTTGCTCTTTTTTGAAATCAGACATAATGAGGGAGGGTGGATCAGAGACACTGTGCACGGTGATACGGTAGCAACGTATAGCCCCATCTTAAAGCATAATCACCTGTTCTCCCCTACCTGAGACGGTCATTTACAAAATCAATTTTTGTGGATTTACCGATAAAATAAACTTTTCACAGCAGAGCAGTGAAGGTAATACACATTTTACAACAACAGTGTGATGAAGCGGTTTGGGTTTGTGCTGTTCTTTGGGTTGTTTCTCGCTGATGCTTTGATCTCAGAGAGCTTTGATGGACATGTCTGGACTCTGTGGACTGTCTGCTTTGGTCTGAGGCCTGTTGGAGCGTTTAGCATAAAGCAGCAAAGCGCTGGAGCCAGAAATGTGGCGAGTGGGTTGACTGGGTGGAGCTATGTCGATGTCCATGTGTGATAATTCATTTAGTTGGTGTGTGAGGTGTGTTTGGGGCGTGTAGACATGGCTGATAGGTTCTGGTAGCCCAGGTTCTGCTGTTTAATCTGATGTGCAGCATCACTATCGTCTGTCATGATGAGTGCATCGTGTCACACTATTTCTTTGTGGGCCTTCAGGGGTTTAAATAAGCTCAACCACATATACTTCCAACCTGTACTCTAGTACATTGTTTGACTACTCGGTGACTTTATATCATTGAAATTCAAAATGAATTGTCAGTGAGCTGCTGCTGCCTTTACTTACTGTATCCGCCCAGTTTAATGGTGCCTCGACGCATGGTGGGCATCTGGATGTCCGCTGTGTTGCTCACAAACTCACTGTTGTCCTCCAAAACTTTGAGCTCTACAAATGTAAAAATGGAGGAAGCTTATTAGAATAAAAGCATAAAAAAAAAAAAAAAACTGTTATAAATGCTGCAGCTTACCCTTATTGTTCTGGTTATCCATGAGGGAATGGTGAGGGATGTCAGGACCTGCAGGTAGCAGAATGAATGCATGAGTGTGTTATACAGAGAAGTGTGTTGCACAAGTCAGAGGGAAACGAGTCTTACTGACCGCTGCAGCTCATACGGTAGAAGGAGGCGTTGTGGCTGAAGTAGGCAGAGTTATAGTGGCAGTCTTTACGTAATGAGCAGGTCAGACACTTGGTCTGCTGGCTGGTCCACCTGAAATACACAAACGCACACACACAGTGTAAGTCTGAAGATTACAAATGAAATGCTTTGTAAGGCAGTTAGATAAAAACCCTTACTTGTAAACGTTCCTCCCTCCTGGCCTGCCGCCGTCTTGGTTGCTTGAAAAATACCTGCGGTGTAATTGGCATGAATGAGTGAAGAGGAAAGGGCAGCAAAGCAAGAACTCAGCTCGTGGGTGTTGCAATGTGTGTTCCTAAGTGTGTTCAATGTGTTTTATTTTTAAAAATATAATCAATAGAAATCACAATCTAGTATGCATGTTGTAAACGGCAACATGAGTGAGCCTTCAATGTTCCTGTTGGAACAGTCAGATAAAGAACATGAGGTTTGTAGAATTGAACAAACCTTATTTTTAACACATTTTACATGAATACATTCTGTATGTTTTCTAAAGAGACACTGTGTGCATGGATAAGCAGTCGAAGCAGCAGAAAAGACCAACTCACACGCTATCGGCGGTGACTTTCAGAATGTCGATGACTTCCCATTTTCCGGAGGTGATGGCTGTAGGTTTGTTCTGCGCGATTGAGTCAGACAGAATGTGTGTGAGTGGGTGGAAACAACAAACTATTCACGACGGATGTAAAGAGATGATTTTGCTTTTTGTGGCATAAGTTCCACAGAGATACCCACCCCGACCACATGATGGATGTGCTTGTACATGGCGGTGTCGGTCATGAGCAGGTAGTAGCTGTTCCCGTCTGCAGCGAAAACTGGCTCCGATGGAGAGAACTAAGAAGAACAGGGATACCTCTTTTTTGTGTGCAATTAACTTGTCTTTAAATGACAAGGCTACAATTAGTACTGTGATTCTTTTTTTGTCAAAAAGACCAAAACCAACAGTATAAAGCATATTTGCAGCTGATCATTGGAGTTTTAAAAATGCTGCTCTGGTGGAGGAAACAGAGCGTTTTCCAGGGACTGTTTCCAGTATTTCAGTATTTGTGGCAGCAGGACAGGCGTGTGTGTCAAAATACGCTGCAGTGGTCATGTCATCCAGCACTACGGTGTCTTTCAAATAGCTTTCCAACAGCACTGGAGCTCTGTGGCGCAGAGGAATAACATACACCAGGCTTTGATTCAAGCACCATACTTGTCAGTGTTGGTTTGCATCTTTTCAGAAGTTTTTTTAATCAGCCATGTGATCATTTAATAGTGTACTGGACCTACCCGACCGATCCAGCCCGTGCTGCTTTTCAACTCCAGAGGCTGTAAAAAGATTCAAACAAAGACATTTACAGCTGCAGTAAACTACATTTTATAACAATACGCCAGCCGTATCAGGTCAGCGGATCTGAACTCGGAAATCATAAACAGTCGTCACAGAATTTATTTTAGAAACTTGCTAACCAACAGAGTTGGGGATTTTCCAAATGGCGAGCTGATGTGGCACATTTTTATACGCTTGGATTCATTAGAGCTGCACTGCGACAGCTAACAGAAATGCAACTCGAACCAAAGTTCATCTGAGGTGCATATCAAGCTGGTCTCAGCACTATCCCATCTATCCATTATCTATACTGGGCTGTTATTTAGAGGAAGGTTGCCGTCCATAAAGCCCATCCCAGAGGGCAACAGCCAGGGAACACCCTGGACTGGTGGCCGGTTTACCACAGGCCAAAACTAAGACGGCTAATGTGGGAGACTGTAATGTCACTAAAGGCTAGTTTGTCTTCATAGCATTTAGTTTAGAAACCCTTTCCTGTTCCTTCCATGCTTGATAGTGTTACTGTGTGTAGTTTGCTGTTGAAATGATTTGTGTGTTAAAATGTAGTAACTGATAGAAGTCAGCTTCCCTGTAGGGACCATTAATATTTGCTCTACTGTGGTGAAAACAACAGTCCATGACGTCTGGTTTTACCTCGCCAGGGACCCAGCTGGATCCACTAAGGTCGTAGATCTGAAGCATGAGGTGGTTTTGGACTCTCTTGAGCCACTGGACAGCCAGACGGGTGTCGGTTGCCCACGTAACAGAGGCCAGGTAGTGTTCACTGAGAGAAAAACAAAATAGAATAGAAATACTGTGTTTATCCCAGACCTGGGAAATGATTGGGATACAGCAGCAAAAAAGAAAAAACACCAAATCACAACAAGAAAGGCCTAAAGTTAAATACTATTTAAAAATATATAATAATAATAATACAAAAAATAAAATAAAATAAAAAAGTAAAAAATAGAAAAGACAGAAATCACAGTCAAACTCCTACGTTACTGTCAGATTTGAACATAGTAGAAAGTGTTGCATTACATTGAGCTGAATGCCTTTGTAACAACAACTTCGGTGATTTCCGTCACGTTGTCAGTGTTCACAACAAACAGCTTGACGACGGGGTTGGGAGTGCCTGGCTGCAACAAGAACACAACGTGAGATACCAGACAGTAATGATGGTAAAGAGCTCAATCAAACATGCTCAGATGGATGTCCCACCTTCGGGTACGGGATGGAAACAGTGCTGGGGTACTGGTTGTCGCCGTACCACGAATACTCGATCGTGTGGACCTCGGTGTCATTGAACTGAGCGTACGCCACATACTTCCCTCCAGGTGACCACCAGAGGCCCTGAGTGGATGAAAACATCTCCTCTGGAAGGGTGGAAGCATAGAGCCGTGTTAGAGGTTTAGTTCCAGCTTGAAAACACCAAATCAGTGTGCTTTGTTGTCGTCGCAGCTGAAGAATGTAATTGTCAGCATTTGCACTTCCTGGATGTGTGTCGAGCCACACCAGTGACTCTGGGATTTCTGATTATCTACGTGTTGATCAGTGATGGGAGGGAATATTTAGAAGCTTTACTGAAGCAACAATACTGACAAGACCGTGTGAAATAATTCATTCAATCAAAGTAAAGACGTGTTATCACCAAAATGTACCTCCATTATAAAACTAATACCTGAATTCCTTAGAAACAATAATCAGGTCATTTTTTAAGTTTATAGTTATTTTACATACAGTTGCTTTAGTGCAGTGATCTACCATTACAGAAATCAGGGTGAATTCCAGATGACTGATGGGACATTTTCAGGTTCAGTTTACTTTTTATCCGTCCTGCAGAAGATGTGGTATCTGACATCATGGGTTTATGATTAGACACCCCAGCAGGTCAGAGGTTGTACCTGGGGTTTGGACCTATGGGCCTTGCAGATTTATGATGGGAGTAATCAGGTTAAAGTTGATGTGGAGGGTCGTCACATTATGGAGAGGATGTGACTCCCATTAGGACAGGAACCATACGTCCATTGTTTGACAACTTCCGTACGTAAGCCAGTGGTTACGGTCGGTCTGGAGGGTGATTCTTTTCGGCTTCGAATCCTCTCACAGGCATCTGAGGGATTGTGCTTGTTCCAATAAATGTTTCTAAATCAACACAGCAGTATCGGCGGAGAATTTCTCCTTTACTGAACAAAGTGCATGTGATAGAGTTCATGTACGTCATCATTCTGACACAGCTTTGAGCGCTTTTGTGTAAAATTAGAAAGGTGAAGTAGTAAGTAAATATTTGGTACAATGCAGCATAAAACTCTCTTAAATGAATATTACTTGATGCTTTGTGTGTTTGTGTGCTGTTCTTTTTTATGTATGCGCTGAACTCTGGTAGTTGTTAGATGATATAAAGCCCTGAGTGCAGCAGTACACTCCGGTCATGTGACTTCTGAGCAGCATGTGTCACTCACCCTCATACACCCAGTCTGGAATGCCGTTTAGAATCAGATTTTCCTCGCCGTTGAAAGTCACTTGCTGTGGTTCAGACTCAGGGTTGGCCATTACGTACACATTATTCCCCCACACGTAGGCCTGCACGTACAAATACACGAGTTAACAAAAAGACCAGGAGAAGGAGCTCTTAAGTGTTTGGGAAAGGATGTGTTTGATAATCCGTCACCCGCTTCAAAGCAGAGGTGTTGCTCAAAGCTCTGCATATGTCGGCGTGTATATCCCAGACGTACCAGCTTGTTCCCTTGAGGAGCCCAGGCGAAGTACTGGACTCGATCAGGAATGCGAGAGGGCGTGATGAATTTGCTGGAAGAGATTTGGACAAGGGTCGTGAGCTTGACTATTTAAAGCGTTCACTACAACTGCTGTGCTTTAATTAGCAGCATGGAACATCTGATGAATGCTGAATTAGAACGGCATATGTCCACAGGTACCCGGTACATTTTTAGGCTGAATGAAACTTCAGAATACTTACTTTAACTCCCGGTCATAAAGTGAATATGAGGCTGTAAACGAATGTCTCCACAGCTAATGGGGCGAAACAAAGCACTCAGTGATCACTCTGGAGTATTAACAACGCATCAGATCTGACACTGTATGTGAGTAGAACTACAGCGTACCTTGGAGTAATTGCTCATAAATGCGACGTATTTGTGGTCAGCAGACAGCTGGTAGTCAGTAGCATCTTTCTGATCCTGTAACACGAAGAGCGAGAGAGTTTTCAGACGTGAGGAGACACCACTACATTTGTTTGGACAGGTGTCATGTGGCTTCTGCTGCACACACAGCATAAGCTGGTGGATTCAGACGACTTACAAACGTCTCTTTACTCAAGAAATTTGAGTTCTCTCCTGTGACCACGTTGTTGAGGAAGACCGAGCCGTCTGATTTATGCAGGTACTCATTGTCTGGGGTGGGAGATAAGAAAAAAGAAATAACAGAATATTTTACCTACGAGGGAGAACATGTGAGTCCCTGAAGAAAAATAATAAATAAACACTCCGAGGAGATAAGAGCGCATTCTTCAGTAATAAGTAATGCATGACTGATGCTGATTTAATGCAGGCTGGGTCATTGATGCTGCCTGTGGAAACAAATTTCTGCTTTCCTTTTTTAAAGTTTGAAAGAATATCTCAGGTCAACCTGGACATTTAACATTTTCACCAGAAAAAATGTAGATACTGGAGATTAGAAACTTGAAAGAGGCCGGCTTTTAGGAAGGCAGTCATCTAAATCTGCTTTTCCAATTTGGGATTTTTTGGGAGAAGTTAATGGAATCATGGAAACATGCAATATGTTTCATGGCGATCCATTCAATAGCTGTCGAGATGTGTATCGTCCTATAGGAGGAGTGAGCGATTCCTCAGGGGACCAGTGCCAGCCGCCTCCCCCCAGCAGAGCAATGAGCCCCACAACGGTGCAAAAACTGCTCAGGAATACAACAAAAAAAACCCAAGCCCGCAAACAATCCAGATCCATGAGGACCCCACCCTACAAACAACACAAATCAAATGGTCTGCTGCCAACATGTTGGTGCCAGACACCACATGATACCCCCAGAGCTGCCCTGCTCCGATGGGTCAGAGCTGATTAAGACATCAAGGGACCTCCACAGTCCCAGGCAGGTGGTGTCAGTGTTGTATGTGAGTTCAGATTAATTATTCATTAAGTGTTAAATAGGAATTTTTAAAAAGTTAGCAAAGTAGCATCCCCAGCATCCACTGACACCTTACTCTCTGTTATTTAAACATAGGGGTTTATGTGATGCAGCCTAAATATATCCCAATTCAGGGGTGTCCAGTCCTGGTCCTCAAGGGCCACAGTCCTGCATGTTTTAGATGTTTCTCTCTTCCAGCACACCTGATTCAAATGATCAGCTCCTCATCAAGCTCTGCAGAAGCCTGATAACGATCCTGATCATTTGAATCAGGTGTGTTGGAAGAAGGAAACATCTAGAACATGCAGGACTGTGGCCCTCGAGGACCAGGACTGGACACCCTTGTCCTAATTCATGTAATATATCAACATCGGTTGTACTTTTCCTAAGCATTGTTATTATTAGAAGTTTCCAGCTGAATTTAGAATGAACACACACAGACACGTGAGTGAATCACTAATTCGTAGTGAGAACACGTTGTCTGATCGATGATAATGATGAAGGACACATTTACAGCTTAGAAGTCAGGCCACGCCTAGCTGTAACTGGTGTCATCACATCCCATACCCTTTCAGTTTTACAGGCTGAATTATCTCCCACCTGAGATCCACCTCATGTTGTAGGACTTTGGCTTCAGTGAGCTGTTGAAGACATCCTCCAGCCTGAAGGTTTTCCCGACCTCCACCTTGTCCTCTGAAACACATGTTTAGTAAATCAGGACCTGGCAAGGACTTCAAGGTCACAGGCGGCAGATATGATATCATGTGCACACATCATAATTATCATCATAAAGGACTGTAACTGCAGTAATGACTGTAACTGACAATGACAAGTGGAACATCCTTTACCTCAGTGTGTAATAGTGGGAATGGTCATAGTGTGTATTAGCTGAAGATATTTAACGGTGTGTGTGTGGTGACTGAGAAACTACACCGTAAGCCTTTAGTCACGCTTATGTATGCCACAAATAGAACAATTATAGTAACAATAATAAAGTAAATAAATGCTGCTTTTCTATAAGTACTTTTTAAAGAAGTGTCCAAACGGATCGTGCGTAATGACGCGTGCGTAAAGTCCTTTATGTCAGACATGTTTACCGGTGAACTGGACCACTAACGGTGCCAACATGTGAAGCATTTATAAGCAAAGACTCACCATTTAAATATATAGCCGTGGGCACTGCAATCAAAACGACGACCACCGCTACGCCAAAGACTGCGAGGAGCACCTTGGCGATGGAAACCTGTTCAGGATCGAATGGATAGAAGTCAGAGAGCTGCTCCAAAAGCCCCCCCGTGTAACAGCGATATGTGAGTATTTACAAACCACCAACTAACCATTGTTTCTGCGCGTTAGGTGAAGTCTAGAACCGATATCTGTGAAAAATCACAACTCCATCGATCCAGTGAGCTGCGCGCACGGAGAACACTACAGTTATGCGACACGTGCGTTTTGCTGTTAAATATTATCTCAACCGAAGTTTCAAAGGTGGGACAATAAATGTGTAGCGGAGTAAAGTTCATCAGGCTTGTTGGTGTTCCAGAGTTTAAGGAAGTGTGCGCTGCCTGTCAGGCTACTCCCAGAACCGTCCACTGATCCACAGATCTGTCAGACGGAGAGTCTGCTGAGCGCATCGCCTCAGTCTGACCAGGAACACGATCAGGACACTTCAGTGTAGACTTTGCATAAATATGATAACGGATATTCAATATGTTAACAGCAAGTTGCCTTCTTGTGTAAAGCTGCAGACTGCTCAAAGCGAGTTTATCCTGCATGTTCACACCAGCATTAGTCTGACTAACAGGAGTCACACTGTTGGAATAGTGGAGGTGTTCATGATAGTGTGGCTGCACAGGATGCAACCTCATATACAGTGTCTCTTATATTCTTGTTTTCTTCCTGTCATGCTGCTGGTCAGACAGAAACACAGACTGTAGAAGTAATGCAGAATAGAATATTGTAGGTATTATGAGTCATACTGGAGTTTGTGCATATTCACATCATGTTGACTGCAGGGTGTCAGTGGTGTGGATGTTAAGAACTAGTGGCTGTCAGCATCATGCAGGTTGTTCAGGAGATAAGAGCCTCCACACCAGACTTCCACTGAGTAATCTGCTCATTTAAAGTCACAAAAACTGAGAATAAAATATTTCAAGGCTCAGTATTATTAAATATAGAAACATTTAGACCAAAAAGAATACAGAAAACATTTTTTTAATGAAATTTACAAGTTTTTGCAGCTAGAGTAGAGATAACCTTTTGACAACTTGCAATATCAGCAAACTGGGACAGATTTTTAATCAAGAAGAAATCAAAAATAAAAGAAAAATGTTGTTAAAACTGTTAAAGTGGGACATTTGTGTTTCTGAGTGTGGACTCATGAGTGTTTAGAAAAGTTCTGCAGCCCTGCTTTCACTGTAAAGCCTTGACTGAGCTCCTCCAGAGGACAGATAGTCGTTGCTGCTATTTTACGCGTCCACCAGGACATTTTTGGACACAAGAAGTCCTGCTGCCTCTTAGCATTGGGCATGTAATGGGCGAACGACGAGGCAACAGATGATTTACAGGTGCTCCTCAACAGGAGGACATTACAGGATAGACCCTCCTACAGCCACACAAACACTGGCTGCACCTGATTGGACAGTCAGGACTTCAGTGGGCAGTCTGCTCCTGGATGTCAGACAGGATCAACATGGCGGCTCATTTGAAAACCTTTCTGTTCTAAAAACAGCTGGCTAGAATGTGTTCCTGTAAAGATTTGACATGAGAAATAAGTCATGCAGTTGGTGAATCTGCCTTCATTTTAGATCGACAACAGTTAGTTTAAAAGTCTTTTAAGAGTTCAGGGAGGTGTCAAGTTGGAGCTGGATGCCCTCGTCTACATGGAGTCCACACTGATACGAACAGCTATGTGTCCGTGGGTGTGTGTAGATGTCCTCAGTGTGCATTTTATACAGTTTTGCTCTTCTGCAGGAATCCATTTGAAAGTCTCCTTTGCATACATGCACAGAGGATCCTGTCTATGTGTTCTGTGCATACAGGCCAGTAACACTGCTGCCCTTGCAGCGGACTCAGAGTTTGGAAGTATGTCCAAAACACACCCTACTTTATTTTCTATTTTGCTCTAAATGGAGCCGTAGTTTACAAAAGGAAAATCATACAAAACATCTTGCAACTAGTGATTGAGACCATAAACTGTCATAAATAGATCAAGTGTGAACTTTTCTCACAGACTTTGATCCAGTCTGACTCTTTTCTGCAGATACAGGAGTCACCCCCTGCTTGCTAGAAAGAGTGCAGGTTTAGGGCACTTCTGTGTTGACTTCAGTCATAGTCTATGCTCCTAACTCCTGACTAATCCAGAAATGAGCACAGACGTGGAGCATGAGTGGAGCTGAGGGGAGCCATACCAATGACTCAAACCAGCCAAATCCTTAATTATTCATACCTTTAAGATTTAACGTGATGAGATGATGTAATGAATTGGAGACCAGAACTGAACCAGGCTGTAAAACGTGTTTATTTCTGCTGTAGTGTTGGACATATTAGGATGGGGTCTATGGGGAGCCAGCCTCTGGTGGCTATTTGAGAAGCTGCTATTTGAAGTTGGCTTAATTTTTCAGCTCTCAATGTTGCAGCTTGAGAATGTCGCACCACTTATCAGGGAAATTGTTTGCTGAAAACATAGCTAAAGGCTGCTTGGGTCAAAACACTCAGAGGGATGGTTGTTTTACTCCATAATGCCATGCTTGGTCAATATAGAGCTATGTCTGCAACATTTCAGCATTAAATGGCCTTTTGGGTCATGTGGGATGTTCTTCGCTTGCCTTTGTGGCACCTCAGTACTCTGTAGCCATCAACGCTTTCACCGCTTTCATCGCTTATGAATGAAAACTGGAAAATGCGGTAAAGTGAAGAATAGGTTCAAGCTCACAGAGCAGGCAGCATGGCATGAATCATTTCCTGTTTACTATGCGGAGCACTACATTTACTTTGCATCAATTTATTTGATTAATTCTGTGTGTGTATGCATCCGCTGTCTAAGGAGTGTCTGTGGCAAGTAATTACTTTCTGCTAACAATCCAGTGCATGAATGTTAGATGACTGATAACGTAGCAGCTGTATGGCTCGGACAAAGGCCTGTCATGAATGCTGCATCATAAATAGTCTGTATTTACATAGTCATTAATGTCCTTCCTGTTTCTGCTGTTCCTGAAGGTAGCATGAGAACTGCATCATTGATTGTGGAACAAGAGCGATAATGTTGACTGTGGAAACTTTAAAAACCATATTCACATTTAATAGAAACAATATGATCTATTATATGTGATGTATTTTTGACAGAACTACACGACAGCGTGAAACACACGTCAGAGCAGCTGGACTCTGAAATGAACGTGTGTTTTAGTGTGTGTTGTCACAGTTTCCCTCTTTGTGCACACATATAAGTGCTGACCAGTCACAGGAAATGCTAAGAGCCTGTTAAAAGCTTCACAAATATAAAGCTGTTCCTTTATGAGGATTAGACATCATATTCTGCACTTTTCGCCGTCACACCGGACATCCTCAGCAAACAAACAGACAGTGGATGTCGTTCCTAATGCAGCACGGCTTGTTTAAACAGCGGTACTTCACGGATGCCCCCATTTGCCTGACACTTAACCTCCCTGAAATTGTTTATAGGTATCACTTCTAATGCATTTGGTCTTATTGGACAGATCCAGAGAGAGATGGAGAGAAAACATCAGGAACATTCAGGAAACTGCGACTCGCTGGCCATCTGAACGCGTCGACACTTGTTAGTTTATTCCTTGTATGAAAGTATAATACGACTGTTGCATCATTTGAACATAATAAGACGTTCTTATCACACAGTAATATCAGAAATCTGCATTTCTGCCACGAATAGCTCTAAAGAATGAGGATCATAGATGTAAGGCTTGGACAGAAACTCCACCACAGACAATCTGAATCCTACCAATTATGTGAAAAGGGTTTTCTCACGCTGCCTTTCTTTTCTTATTATTTTTTTCTTCGTTCAATTTTGTAGCAACTGCACATAATTAATTGTAGTTGCACCGGAGTTAGCTCGGTAATGTATTTACTTATCTTTAGTTCTTGAGCAAGTAGACAAACAAACAAACATGCACACAAACAGACAGACAGCAAAACAATGCCACTGTATTACATAACACAGTCTTGTAAAACAAGTCCATCAATGTGAGATAATAAAATAAAAAGTCTGATAACTGCACGAGCTGGTGTGTGCTGACTTTAGCCACAACTTGCAGCTGGTGTTACACACTGCGAAGCTTTCACAACCTCTGACGTTTGTGAGTATAGACTTCCACTTTCCCACTTCTTTAACCAAGAAATCAGACCAATGCTGAGCACGTGTTGTGAAACTGCTGTTGTCTTCATTTGGTTGTGTTTTGCTTATTTGCAGTGGGTAAAGCTGCAAAACAAATCTAACCATATTTCCAGTGTGTGCATGTGCATCATGCAGAAGGTCACTACTTTCCTAATGAGCACCCACACCGAGTTAAACGTTGCACAAACTCAGCAGAACCGAGGTTAAACGTTCAAGCGTTTGTTGTAGCTACGGTGCATGATGTTGTTTATATTCTACAAGGCATGCCGGGCAATTGTGCATGAAAGCCTCTGACTGTAACGGCCTCGGCTAACGGACGTGTCCAGTGTTTACTGCCAGGGATAAACAGAGAAGTCGGGCTTTGACTTCAACAGATGTGGGGGAAGTGTCGGGACTGTAATGGCATTTCTGGCTTGTGGTTGGATGGTGTTTAAGTTTGGACGTTTGGAGAATTGTGTGGAAATGCGTGCTGTTAGAAATGCGCCTGAATGCAGCGTAGCAGCAACTGACCCAACACTGCTGCACACACACCCTTCAGCTACTGTTGTGCTGTTAGTTTAACCCACTTGTTTACGACCAACTTACGGCATAAGAAGGAAGGATACACATTTAAACCACATTAGTGGATTCTCTCCTTCATTTCAGGGGGAGATATCACATTTTACTCCTCTACATTTTTCTGACAGCTTCAGTAAACTTGTAAGATTAAGAATTGAGTGGTGCTCAGTCCAGGAGTTATTTCCCTCCAGTAGGTCACAACTTAATTCTGAGGGGTCCTGAGATAATTAATGTGAGAGGAAAGACGACAAACAAAGTTGTGATACCTAAATCTAGTCTCATATATGCCTTTTCTGTCACATTTTGGATAGTTTGACCTTATTGCACCAGTAAACAGATCCACACATTTAGTTGGTTCTACTATAAACTATTATTTAATTATATTATTTTAGTCTTTTTTATTTTTGCAATGCTTTTAGAAAAATATTTTGGATGAACAAAAAAAAAGGTGAAAGAAGGTTTTTCTCCTGACTTAAAAAGAATATTTTAAAGATGTGTGGCTGCCACTAGGAAACACTGATATCATCAAAATATTTAGTTTCTCTCTTAATAGTCTGGAGAACACAATGAAGAAGCTTAACAGCAGCTGATCAAAATCCTCCCGTATGTTTAAGTTTAAAACATAATGAGAGATGAACAGTACATGCACACGGTTGTCCTCAGATGTATTCATAGCCTCCCATTAAAGAAGGAAAAAACAAAGCAGCTTTAGTCACTGAAATAAGCTGAAATTGACAAAAGTAATCATAAATACAAATTTAGTGAAAATCATGACGTTGCTTTTGAATTGTGGGTCAACAAAAATATTAAAAACAAAGAAACAACTAAACAAGCAAACAAGCAAACAAGCATGACGGGACCAGTGAACTAATATTCTGGCCCACTGCTCATCAGCAAAGTGCTTTCATTTGTCCAGGACAGTTTTGTTTGTTTTTTTAATTATTCTTTTCTACCACAAATCAAAAGAAATGTCTTATTTCTTTGAATTGTAATTTAGCAAATTTTTTATTTATTATTACTTTTTTCAGTTTCTAGTTATTTGAGTGACTGTTGTAGTTTTTGCCTTTTCTTTACTTAAGGGGATGAATACCTGTGAGGACGACTGTATGTAGTGAATATGAGCAGCTTGTGAAATATCCTGTACGGCTGAATACATAAAAAGATGGTAGAACAACACAAACATCCAGGTAAACCAGCCAATCACCTCTGAATAAAGACAGGAAGCATCTTACTGAGATAAATCCTTTTTCCTCCTATCACTTGTTTTATAATTTCCCATTGAACCATTCACAGCTGTTTCTATCATTTCACTTTAAACTCATAGATAAAGTATGTAGGTGCTTCCTCGGAAACGTTGTACAAACCCCAGAAACTTGGGACAATCAGCCAACATAAGGGAAAACTTTGGCTTTCAAACAGGACCTTTGTTAAATGATTGTATTCAACATTATAAAAGCAACTCTCCTCATGTGAAACTGCTTCTTAACAGACCGTTTCAACTCCAGGGACAGTTTAGACTACAGCTGCTCTGTTCCGATGGGATGCACAAGTATTATCTACGTTTTACCTTCATCGCCGCCAGTGTGTGTCTCCATATACCTGCAGCACCGTCAGACGCTGAGCACCAGTCGCACTTCCTCTAGTCTGACGGCTGCAGTTCGGTCCCTGTGACGACAAAGTGGGAACCCCCCACCGCCACAGATGTTGGTTACAGTTGGGCCTCCAAACACCACAGAGCAAAACAGAACAGGAAGTTGCATTCTCTGCGCTTTCCCCCTCACACTTGTCTGCATGCTTCAGACGTTTCTCTTGAGTTCGCCGTGCGTTCCCTCTGACTCTCACTGAAGGGTGAAATGCAGCGCAGGTGTTGCTTCTTACCTCCACGGCTGTGTGATTCTCACCTCGTGGTGTCCTGATGAACGTCTCTCTCAGTTTGGATAGAGGATAGTACATGTGTTTTAGCATTTTACATTAGCACTGACCTGTGTGTGGCTAAAAACATAAACATCCCCTGTTTCATTATATTTCATCTTATTTACTTCAAATCCATATTTATTTTTGTTGTTGGTATGTTTAAGACATTTATTTGTCTTTTGACATTAACTTGCACTTTGGAACTGACTTAATACCCCTTCAAAGAATAAACATTACTTTTTGCTTGTTGATGAGAGACTTTGGTAAAGTTTCCAGAGCACCATCTAGTGGTTAATGGAAGTAATACAAGACAGTGTGTTTATTTTCCAGTTCAAATGTTCAATTCAGTTTTATTTGTATAGCGCAGTTTACAGCATATATCATCTCACAGCGCTGAACATAGTCAGGTATAGACCTTATGACTTTAAACAGAGAACCAAACAATCCAGAGTTGCCTTTGGACTCCCTCTGAGCAAGCGGTCGGCAACGGTGGGAACCAAAACCCTCCGACAGAACCAGGCTCGGTGAAGGCGGCCATCTGCCTCGACCGGTTGGGTTAGAGTGGGGATGAGGGGATAGCAGGACAGCAGATGGAGAGCCAGCTATAAAACGGAAAGAAAAAATATTTTGGGGGGTCGGTGAGACCAGCGGCTGTAGATCAGGGACGTGAAGCTCCAGATCCAGAGATGTCTACAGGGAGAACAAGCACAGAGTTAGTGACATGTAATGGTGGTTATAACTGTATGGAAGGAAGAGAGGAGAGGAGAGGAGAAGAGAGGAGAGGAGAGGAGAGGAGAGGAGAAGAGAGGAGCCCAGTGCATCATGGGAATCCCCCGGCAGTCTATAGCTATAGCAGCATAACTCAGAGACAGTTCAGGTGATCCTGAGCAGGTCTGACTGTCAGCTTTATCAAGGAGGAACGTTTTAATCCTAACATCGAGGGTGTCTGCCTCCAGAACCCAGACTGGGTGCTGATTCCACAACAGAGGAGCTGATAGCTGAAGGCTCTGCCTCCCATTCTGGTTCTGGAGAGTCTGGATCCACCAGTGGACCTGCAGTCAGAGAGCAAAGTGCTCTGGTAGGATGATATGGTACCATAAGGTGTTTAAGGTCAGATGGGGCTGGTCGTTAAGAATTTAAATTCTATCCTGGATTTTACAGGAAGCCGATGAATTGAAATGAATACAGGAGAAATGTGATCTCTGTCAGAACCCTGGCTGCAGCGTTTTGGATCAGCTGAAGGTTTCTGAGAGAGTTATTGGGACATCCTGATCATAAGGAAGTCTACAAGTTATAAATGATGGACGAGTTTTTCAGCATCACTCTGACACAGGATGGTCCTGATTTCTACAATATCACATAGATGAAAGAAGGCTGTCCTACAAACTGGTTTTATATAGCTATTGAACAACATGTCCCGATCAGAAATAACTCCAATAACTCCAAGTACAGTAGAGCTGGAGGCCGAGGCGATGCCATGTGGAGCAGCTATCTGGTTAGACAGTGTGTCTCTGAGGTGTTTAGGGTCAAATACAATAACCTTTGTTTTATCTGAATTTAAATGACGGAAAATACAGGTCATCCAGGCCTTTATGTCCGTCATTCATTCCTGGAGTCTGACCAACTTCTTCTCACAATGTTTTTACGTCAGCATGGGAGAAAAAAACGCTCCAATCAGAAGAGAGGTTATTGGAAGAGTGGATAAAGTTGCAAAAATACACATCCAGTGCCAACAGCATTAAATATCGTATTGATGTTTTTACTTTGAAGGAAATTATTTATTGTTTTTATTATTTACGGAGTTAATTTGAGAGATTTTTGTTTCGAATTAGAGAAAGCGGCTCAGAGCTGGTAGGCGGGCCTTCGTCTCCTGCTTCTCTCTCATTGGCTGCCGGCGCTATCAGTCAACACACTTCCGACAGCTCGGATGTGAGGTAGCAACTGTTCGGACTTCTCGGAAGTTGCAGCCTGTAGCAGAGCAGCGAACTAACAGCCTTACTTTCCCCCTCAGCACATCCAACCTGTGACTTATCGCTCTGTTTCACCGAATGGCTTACCCAGGATACAGCGCGGTGAGTGAAGCGACGTGTAACCGTCATTTTACCGCGTTAGCCGGGCTACGTTAGCTACCGGGAAAGCTAGCCCGGGGCTGCGGACACACTGCAGCTCCGACAATTTGGCCCAAGAGCTGACACAGGTGTTCCTACTTTCCAAAGCAGATATCAGGAAGTACTCTGTGTACCGTGGGGGACTTTTCCTCTTCTGTAGCTGTAATTCAGGAGCTGTGTCCTCAACCACAGTTGATTAAAAATGGACTTCAAGCCACAACTTCCGGAATAACAAATCCGTAATATTCAGGTGTTCAGAGCGGTTCACGTTGAGTCCTCCAGCTGTGTGTCTGCAGCTAATCATGACCTCCTGTGTGGAATAAACGTCTTTCCTTTTTATAAACCATCACATATTTCTACACACTAAGTCTGATAAACTAATAGAAAGCCTGCTGCGAGCTGTTTGTGTGTAAGCACTGACCAGGATCTAAAGAGTCACTTAGATTCATCCAAACCAGGTGTTTAACGTGTAAAAAAGTTTATTTGTTCGTTCGTTCTTTCTTGATAACAATATTTCTATAAAGAAGCTTAAAGCAGCTTTTCTATGGAGTGATTCTTCTGCAGTGACACTAGTTTTGTAAAATGCATTCCTCCCTGGAGCTATGAATCAGCAGCAACAAGCCTCCAAAGGTCACGACTCCATCACACCACGGCGTGATGAGTAATTGTCACCTATTGTATCCAGAGCTCACATGGTTCCATAGTAATATGTTGAAACATGCAAAGCTTAGAATACACATCCATTCCTATCCCTGTGACAATCCTCTGTCTCCCCTCTGAACTTCAGTATGGAGGCCCGATGCCAGGCATGCCAGCCCAAGGGATGCCGCCCCAAGGAATGCCAGCAGGGCCCATGGGAGGGCCCATGGGAGGCCCCATGCCTGGGCACATGGGAGGCCCCATGCCAGGACACATGGGGGGACCAATGGGAGGCGCGCCACCCCAAGGAGGATATGCCCCTTATGGAGGAGGCTACCCAGGAACATTTGGTGCCCAGCCTCCAGCTGCCAATGATCCAATGTGGGGTTACTTCACAGCCATAGCAGGCCAGGTCAGTGTGAATGCAAGACAGTTATTTGACTTCCTAAAATCTGAAAAATTCTAGATGTAGCCTTTATGAAAGCCGTGTGCTTTATTGGTTTTATTTTGCTGAAAACGGTGCTTAAACCCCCGACCTTCTGATTAGCCAGAGCCTCAGTCATCAGCCCCCTCTGCCCTATTTCAGATTCCTTAAAGCAGTTGAGGCGGAGCAGCGTTAGAGCTCTGTCCTGACTTGATTGCACTCTGCTGCAGATGTCGTAAATGTTCCCGGTGCAAATGAGTGACGTGTGGATGAAGCATCAAAGAGGCGCCTGTTGCTGCATTACATAACATGTGCTGTGGATTGTACAGGGAAAGGTGTGAAGTCAGCTAAAAATATGGAACAAATGCATCAATATAACATTCTGTGATAGTCTGAAAAATATATAGTTATAGCTAGCTTACGTTATCTCACAGTATAAAGAGACTAGTTATGCTAACACATGTCTGCAAGGTAGGTGCAAGAAGAACAACACGACAGATGAACTTTGCAGTCAACAGTGTTGCTGCTGACAGTCAACTTGCTGCTGCTTGCAGCTGCTGGAAATCCACATCACCTCTTTGTCCTGCTCACCTTTCCATAGTTGCACATAAACAGTGCAGGGCTTGAATGGTGGCTTGTGCAGCTGATTTTCACTTTAAACTTCTCCTCATAGCACTGTTCACTCCTTTGAAAGTTACACATGACTATCACTTCCTGCTCTGTGTAGGACGGCGAAATCGACGCAGAGGAGCTCCAGAGGTGTCTAACACAGTCTGGTTTCACCGGCAGCTACTCTCGTAAGTTCACCGCTCTCCTCCAGATATCTGAACTATACCACGTCCTAGCTATTTGACAGTGTTCAGTCGTGTGTTTTATTCAGTGTGTATTTTTTCAGGTTAGAACTCCCCCTAAATTAGGATAAAAGCTTCTACCTAAATGCTTCCACTTAGCACCTGCTTGCACCAGTGCTTAGAGGAACTTTTATTGAGGAACTCACAGAACTCGTGGTGTGTTTCAGTGGAGGTTTAACAAGCTTCCCCTCTGAGGAAACTCCTGTTAAGTTCCAGAAGAACTTCTATGTGATCAGTTCTGCCAAAGGAGCAGCGATGTGCCAGTTGCAGGAACCGTCATCAATTAATGAACTTGGTGTAACTTTTTGGTTTTGCGTCTGTGTTTTACAGCACTCTAAATTTGTCCAGGAAGTTATTTTATATTCATTTATAAAGACAAACTCAAATACTGCAGTCATTTAGCCAACAACACGAGTCACTAAGGACAGCGTGTCAGGATGTAGCCGAGTCTGATGAATGAATCTGATGGATCCTATTCAAACTGGCTCAGAGAGGTCAGCAGCTGTGGTCGGCTGTAAGAGTTTCAGAGGTCATGCTACCAAGAAAATGTGATTATCGCAACTTTCTACGTCACCAAAACTGGTAATTCAAGTTGCTGTATGTATGTTTTTGACCCAGAAGCTTGACTCATTTTTCCAGAAAACCTAAAATAAATCTCTAACACAAACAAAATGTATAGTTGTTGTTTTTTTGTTGTTTTTTTTTTGTGACATGCATGTTTTAAAGATTCCATGACAGAAAATTAGGAGTTAGAGGAGTCACTGAAAACTCACAGCTGCCTGCGATACATGGACTTTACAAGTACATGTAGACACCACCGCCCTCAGAGATACAGCACCACATTTATACATCACGACGCTTTGAAATCTGTTCCCCTTTTATTAAGAACTGTATACACTATAATTTTGTAATTATGAGCCTAATCCTCATAACCATACCCTTCAATGGGACCAAAAAGGAGTTTACTTGCCATGGACAGTCCAGCATTTTATACAGGATTTATCCATCTCCATAGCTGCCAGTCTGAACTGTTCAGTGCCTTTTACACAGAGGTGGTGAATGAATGAACAAGGCAGGGATCTTCCAAACAGTCGCTGTTGAAAGTTCAGTCATGCTGTCTTTTCTCCAAAACACAATAAGTGAATGACCTGCAGGAGTCAGATGATAGAAGGGATCTAGTCCACATCCACCTTATCACAGGAGCCAACGGTCACTTAGTGAAGGAGAAGGAAAGACTTTTTGAATGTGAGGCAGGAATGTGCAGATTGTGACCAACATGTATGATATTTATTCATCATCTTTTCAATGACAACAAACCTGTGGCCTTGACTCATTCGTAACATGTGCTTACTGTCTTTACAGCCTTCAGCATGGAGACCTGCAGAATCATGATTGCCATGCTGGACGTATCCTTCCTGTTCAGGTTCAGTGCTGAAACGATAGCAGCTGGTTCAGCCTGGGAGCAGGTGAACCAGCTGCTTGCTTTGTTCCAGCTGTTTCATGTGCCAGTGGTTTATAGATGCTTAACCAGACTGTCACCAGAGGGACTTCACAGGCAAGATGGGTTTCAGTGAGTTCAAGGAGCTGTTCACGGCGCTGAACGGCTGGAAGCAGAACTTCATGATGTTCGACCAGGACCGGAGTGGAACCGTGGAGCCTCATGAGATGTCTCAGGCAATCACTGCTATGGGTGAGAGTCATTACACTTCAGCACGATGGCGCTTAATGGCTCCTGGAATGTTTAATGACATTTAATTAGACTTAATAGCTCGTTAGTCCGGCTGTAATCTTTGCTGACTGAACCGACCCCCCTGACTCCTTTTATTAGAGCGGAGCAGCGAAGGCCGAGCTGCTGTCACTCCCCATTCCTCATCAGTTATGTGTTATTCAGTGGAACGTTCCATTAGATATTCCTCAACTTTTACGCTCTGCCTACTGGAGGAGAATTAAGATGGGAATAAAACAAAACGAGTCTTTGCTTCCTTTGCAGTTTTCTCAGTCGATTTAACTTGAAGCCTTTCACTGACAGGATGGGGGGTGGTCTCGTGATGCACAGGGTCAGGGTTTCTGTTGTGATAAAACATTTGACTTGGCAAACTTCTGTGCATGTTTGGAACTCTTGGAGATTCTGGATTTCTAAAAGCAATATCAGTTATTTAGTTGATAAAACCTGTTAACAAGGGTTATGATTAATGCGCTTTATTTATTTAAAATGCACATTGTAAGAAGATTTCCTCTGGTTTTCTGAATATGCACAAAGACTTTTATTGTGTAGAATAAACCTACAACAGATGTGTACTGGATCTGGTTTCAAACAACTCTGGCCAACTTTGCTGACATTTGTGCTCCTAAAAGCAGAATATTTATAAATTACAGACATGTTAAGATCCTTTATAGACACACAGAGCAACAAACCAGACTGTTACTGTGAGTAAGAACACCATTTAGGACACTGATATATTATATTTTCAGGTATATTTTTTAAAGCATGCAACACAGACAAACCGAATACAAGATATACAAAACATTAAACATGCTGGAATAAAGTGTGGAGTTAGTTTTTTAGTTATTATTATTAGACACTGATTGCCAGTGTCATCAGATTTAAGTGATGGTAAAACACTGATCTTTTGGTGTCGTTCATAGTGTACCTCATGTTGTATAGCTGCACTCTGCGGCATGAAGAGGATGGAGCATGTGGTGTGACAGCCGCTGTGTTTATTAACCAACAGATTCTCTCTGAAAGCTAAACCAGGACTGAAAACACCAGAGCAGGACCGAGGTGTTTCACAACTGTGTCTACCATCTAAAATAGGAAATCATTCGAGCTGGGTCACATCCTGATCCTGCCACAGTCACGTACAGTCCTACAGCTGCATCTCGCACGTACTCCCACCGCCGCTCCATTAGATGCACCGGATCATTAGGGCAAAGCAGCCAATCACACGGCGAAATCTGAGTACGTTTATCCACGTAGACGCTGTCAGAAGGTCTGTTCCAGTTCAAATTAAGCATCAGGACGGAGAAGAGAATTGATTTGTGTGACCTTAAACATGGTTATTGGTACACAGCTGTCTGTAGGGTTACACATGCTCCCTATAATCCTGCTGTAAGGAGAAAACAAACACTCTAGTAAAGGTGTGGTTAGTCCTGCCTGTAAACACTATTCAAGTTCAACATGCAAACACAAACGCTTTAAATAGTCGGAGCATGCTGGTAAACAGAGGAGAGCAGTGAGAGCCTTGTTTAGTGGACTGAGGGAAATAATGAGCTGAATGAGGCCCACTGTGCTGATAGGATCACTTCCTGTCATGTAGGACATAGTAAATGTACCCAGGGTGTGGTTCTGTATATTTTCAGGGCTTATACGTGCACATGAAGACCAGCAGTTGACCATGAACCAGTGTCTGTGAGAGACGCTGTAACCACAGGACCACGTGCTGAGCTTTGAAATGAACATAACTCTGATGTTTTTTCCTTCTGGTTCAGGCTACCGCGTCAGTCCCCAGGCCCTCAATGCAATCATCAAGCGCTACAACAAAGGGGGCAGGATCTTCTTTGATGACTACGTGGCCTGCTGTGTGAAACTGCGAGCTCTCACAGGTTTGAACACACTAAACCAGCATCCGACATGTTCAGCGAACGGCCACCCGGGCGCAGAAACAAGCTTTTAATGTGGACCGGCGGTGAAATTGCATTCGGTTTTACTCCCCCTGCTGTTATCTGTGAGGAGCCGTGACGTGGGCTCGGCTCTGCGCTCAGATCGGTGTCACCGAGTGCTGCTGTGAAGTGAGTTTTATTGAAACTGCGGCCCTTCTGTGTGGTGACGGTTTACTCTCGCTGTTGCAGAGAACTTCAGGCGGAGAGACACCATGCACCAGGGATCTGTCACCTTCCAGTATGATGACGTAAGTGCTCCTTTTGCTAACGTTTGCTGCTCTATGGCTTTAGTTCAACTGTTATTAAAGAGATGTAAATAAAGAACCGTGGGAAAACTATTCTGAGAGAGTTGAACCTTAAAAAAAGCAGCAGCCTGCCCAGCTTTATTCACACCATGTTTCCATCTTGTACATTTTCTTGAAACTTGAACCTGCTGGGAAGCGTGCTCATAGGGAAACCGAAAGCTCGATGCAATGAGTGAACGGTCAGCAGGATATTTATCGTCATCAGCCATAAGCACCCCGAGGCAGCTCTCTGACTCAGTCTACGCTGTTTGCAAGTTCAAATGTGATTTTTCATCAAGTATATTTTAGTTCTGTGTTTTATTTGAGCTGATTCCAGTGTGTTTCTACTCGTCCATTCTAAAGGAAATGTCTTCCTCCTACGTCCCAGTTAAGGATGAGCTCATCATACAAGTGCTTGAGCATAAAGTGCAATATTTCTGTTTAGTTTAGTTTGATTAAGAAAACCTGTAAACAGCCACAGTCGGCATGTTTCACTTCCCCACCCTGATTAGAACCAACATCACATCATAACATGGGCTCACCTGTATCAGTGTCAGACGTCCTCCGTCTGTTCCCAACCTTCAGTCATTTACATTGAGTCCCTGATTCCATCTGATTGATCATTATGTGGATCAGAACAGTTTTTGGTGAATTGGTTTTGCTCACCTGCTTAATGACCTATAGTAAAGCATTCCCGGCGTGTAGAAGGTGAGCTCGCTGCTGCTGCTCAGTGTGCACACGAGACTTTATTTTAAGCCGTCTGATCGGTCGTCAGCATGTGGAAGACATCAGTGCAGCTCCCCAGTGTTCATGTCCTCTGACTGATTCATGAGCATGTGGTTTAAACCTTCTCTGTTCCTCTGCTTCACAGTTCATCCTGTGCACGATGGCCATCTAAGCGCTGCCGTCTGTACCACGCAAGGAAGCCAGAGCGTTTGTGTGCCAGTCAGCGGCTGATTCTGGATCAGCACCTCACAGGAAGGCAAAGGGAGGCCAGTATGTTAGACTGAGCGGCCGCCAGCCGCATCAGGAAAGTACTCATTGCTTGTAATGCTTAGTGTAATGCTTTAGTCTTGTATGTAACACAGGGATGTGCTGAAAATGTATCGGGGGCGCACACATATACACAGAATATGTATCCAACCATATTAGAGGGGAATATTTGACATCTCACCACCTTTAAAGCCTTTATGAGCAGGACCTCTGACTTACAAAATAAAAGTCACAGATATGGCGTATGACATAACGTCTTGTGTAATCGCCATAAAGTGTCCTCGTAGAGGCTTTAAAGGAGGAAGAGGTCCAGTTTAAGAATGAATCTACAAGCAAGACTGTAATGAACAGTTCTTCTGACCTGTGAGACACCTGTTGTGCCATTATAATATCTGAATGTATGTTCTAACATAGTCAAACATATATATACGTATATATGTTAATGATTGACTGTTTGCAGCATGATGATGCTGGTTTGCTTTTCCACTGACCTTTAGACAGCTACGAGCTTTATTGGTATGCATTAATATTACTGCTGTAGATGCAAAGTAGTTTGATGTTTAACGTGATCACAAGCCAAAGCGACTGAGAGCTGATTGCATCACGCTGATGGCGGTTCTAGACGACAGGGAGAACCGGGAGTGTCGCCACAGATCTACAGGATGCTCATGTGCCTGAGATTTTGCAGCTGTTTTGTTTCCAGGTTTCTGTACAAACATGACCACGTTTTCAGCTCCACACATTTTCAGTGTTGTAAGAAATCCATATTTTGTTACTCACAGTAAACACCTTTTAATCAGTATGCATTCTGTTTATTCATTGATACGACTGCGCTTTTCCCCCCAAAGTCTATTTACACAATATAGTTTATTTCTTTAAATATAGTTAAGAACAGAAACATTCAAATTAGCTGTTAAGTGTTGCATTGTATAAAATACAGTGGCAAACATTTAAAAAATGCATAAAAACAATTGTGAACAGCACTAGGTTTAAAAAGTGACATTTATATCCAGTACAGCAAGTTTTCTAATCTCTGTGCAAAAGTTTGCAAATCCCATGAAAGTTCACTTTTTAGGCGCTGGACGAGGTCGAGTTCGGCTTCAGCAACTTTTGTTCTACATCTGTGCTCGAGAAGAAAGCTTATCGAAGGAAGAGTCTGCTGGAAACATCTGTGTTGTCCCGGAGAGGAGAGGCTTCTCTTGAATGTCGCCCATCTTTATCCTCACTTCTCCTGATAAACAAATCTGAGAAGATTTCACAATTTCTCTCGCATCTTACCAAGCGTTTGATCAGCTCTACATGTTCTAGCTAAGGGTTAGGAGTCACGGGACGAAATGAAAACCAGGCTTGCTTCAGAGGACCGGTGCCTGTTTCAACACGCTGTATGAATCCAGCGGGAGAAGTCCGTGTTGAAACTGCAGAAATGATATCAATGTGCAATACCAAATCAAGACAAACTATGAAACTGCATACAGTCGATGCAGCACAAGTGCTGCCCGTCCTGCATGTCCTGCTTGCTACATTGAGAGGCTATGCATTCATCATCATCATCATCATCATCATCGTCATCGTCATCCTGGAAGCAGTCCACAGCATTCTAAGAGCAAGATTTTTTTTTTTTAAAAACAAATAAGGTACATATAAAAATAAGGGCAAATTAAATACTTTGTTTTAGAAAAATAGGTCTAACAGTTTTTTCTAAATCTCTGTGGATGTGTTGTGTGCTGTACCTTACATGTCAATACGTGTCACACAGCTGATCGAGACCTTTTATAGTTGAGCCGAGTGCAGTCTCCATGCAATACGTGAGCTCGTGTTGGACTTTATGTAGCTAGAAAACTAAAAGGACTAATTCATTTTCGTCATGCAGTTCAATCTAAAAACATTTACACGTGTGACGGAGGGGAAGCAGGTCTTCGGTGCGCTGGATGGATGTCGTCGTAAAGGCTAGAGCAGGCAAACAGAGCTAAGGCTGTTGAAGGCTGGGCTGTGTCTTCAGCCTACAACATGAAAACAACAACATCTTCTTGTGTAGCTTTAGTTTTCTGATGATGTTTTGTGAAGATTCTTTACTCAGGACACTTCTAAAGATAATGGAAGACCTAAAGCATGCAACAGAATGGATCTGAGGAACTCCAGCAGGTCCCACCAGCTGTGAAGATGATTCAGGGCGTTGCTTCCTGTCCGGCAGTCTGACAGTCGGACGTTAATGACACTCGCAGGACTGTTATGTTGAACTGTTCCTCGTCTGTGACCAAATGATTGACAAGTATGACAACGTGATCAATAGCAGGTGTAAATGGAAGTGCTTCTGGGATGGTTACGTCAAGTCAGCTGAAGCGTTTTGAAACGACTTTTCTACATGAAGACATTTAGTCAAACAGTGGGCAGAGGTCCAGCCACCATTCTGCCGGTAGCTTGTTGAGCTCAGGCAGCCAGAAGCTGTACGTGCAGGTCATCACCTCGTGGAGAGATTCTCCTTCCACAGCTGGTCACACAGTTCAGACATAACCGTCCTACGAGTTTCACTTCACCTGAACATGAAGCGTGTGGTTTCCTGGTTATTATGGTCTCATGTTTTCAAATCTATAACTTTGAACATTATTGTGTGTCTCTAACATTTAAAGTTCAGTCTGTGAAGCTCAACGTTGAGCAGGCGAATGGATTCACAGCATGATTGCTCTTCAGAGTTGTTTAGTTTTCTTCTGTCAGGTTTTGTAAAATTACTTCCACAGCATGTTTGAGAAATATACCGACTGGACCCAGTGTGTTTCCTGTACTGGCTCGTCATTATTGCTCTCAGAGACTGACAGAAGTTGTGCTGTGGGACGTCCACGCAGCCTCCACACACTTCCCTACGACGCTGTGTCCTGTGTTTGGAGCTGAATCAGAGGTGGGTTTCTCATCTGCCATGGCAATGTGGTGTACAGTAGGCACGCTAAACATACAGACACATCTCTTTGTTTGTGGCTGCGTCAATTTGTTTGGAGCTGCTGATAAAAGAGGAGCTTCAAAGCTGTGGAGTAAAATAGAGAAATGCCTCGGAAAGAGTTTCAAGTAGCTTTGTTCCCTGTGAAGAGGGACGAGTAGTAGAAAATGAGAGCTACAGTCGTCTGTGAGCATGCAGGAGTCACACCTGGTCGCCTGGTGAGGAACGTGCCACGGAGAAGAAAAGAAAACATGAGAACCAAAGTCATGCATATCTGTTAGAAAAAGCACATCAGGTGCCTCGTGTTGCTGGCAGTGTTCTATTGGAAGTATGTACACAGTAGATGATGACTTTACATGTTAATAATATAGTTTATAAATACCTCTGTATAAATGGTTTTATACATCTAAGTGGGAGCGGAGGGACGGTCGGGGCTGTGGGAGGATTTCTCAAAAGGAATGGAAGAAAGTCTACAGTTTTTATCCTTTGCATATTCAGTCTCTTTCGTAGACCCTGAGTCAAGCTGGAGAGGAGACCTTCAGTCACCGGCGGCGGGGTGGGGGGCCTACTTTCCTGGAAGCCCCGGGTCAGACACTGGCCTGTGGAGTCCCAACATTCCTGAGCTGCTGGGGACGTCGGGTAGAGAAGCTTGTCGGACCGACGGGAGCCTCGGCGGCTGTTGGTGCTGCTGCTGCTCCGCCGAGTCCACGGCGTCCGGCGCGTGTCTCCGCTCGGCGTCGCTCTCGAGCAGTCCAGCAAAGTTCCCGTCTGGAAGAGTCTCTGTGTGGAGGAGGACTGGGGAGGGTTCTTTGGATTTGTTCGGGCCCGTTTCTGGAGCAGGGCTCTGGAGGAGACAGAGCACAGTGAGGAGACTGTCCGCTGAAGGCAACACACTGCCGACGGAAGCGTGTTGCGTTCACTTGAAAAACTAAAAACGATGTTGTCTCGTTCATTCAGAAGAACAGCGTTTTGTTTTTTGTTCACGTGAATGCAACACGCTTCCATCAGCACCAAAGGAAAGAGCCCATGTTCATATAGATGCTGTTTAACCTGTTGGAATACATGAAACGTGTTGTTATCCAGTTGTTACGACAGTCCGTCGGACCGGAGCAGAACCGACACCAGTACAGACCCAGTCAGCTGAAATAAACCGAGAGCAACCAAAGTACCGTAATGTCTGGACTATAAGTCGCTTCTTTTTTCACAGGCTTTGAACGCTGCGGCTCAAACAACGATGCGGATAATTGATGGGTTGTTCCGGGTTTTACGGAGGAAGATGAAGATGAAGATGAAGATGGCCATGAGTGCCTTTACCTGGTAGGCTGCTGTTTTTATTTATTTATTATTTTCTTAACCATCCGTGTTCCAGGCGCTGCTCGGAAAACAGCATCTGTGTAGTTACTGGTACGTATTTAATGAAAAGTTAAAACATCTGACTGTGTAAATGTCTCACGTCCCAACGTGGACACCTGCAGGGTGCACACCTGGTTTTCTTCTTAAAGTTAGTGGGTGTGTTCATCTGTACTCTTCTAATTAATGATTATATGACTGTTTTTATGGATTGATTTTATCTGCCTCTTTGCTTTTGTAATTAATAATGACTGACTTCATCTGTCTTCTCATAGTCTGGTGTTCAGCCTGGTGTGAGCGCTGCTGCCTTGGCTGCCACTGTCCCAGTTAGAACTGGGATGTTTCTGATGATCACGCTGCAGCCCGGAGCCGCCATCAGTACAGATGTTAAAGCTGAGCTCAGATCTGACCTGGAGCCTCATTGGAGGGTTTTTCTGATCCAGACTGTTGTTTGTTCTGACCACAGTCTGCAGTTTGTTTACATCTGCTTCCCCTTCACATCACAGATGCTGTAAACTGCGCTAAACACAGAAGACTGACTTGACTTATTGCACGGCTCCCTCACTGCATCCTGAATCATCATAAACCAGCTGTGGCTCAGGTAGGAGAGCAGTTGTCCTCTGATTGGTGCTTCCAACCTGGTGGATCCAATTAGCCTGATTGGAGCAAACCAAGTGGACTGAGGAGAGGGGGGGACTGGAAATGAGTCATGGTGTTTGGTTTGTTGTTTGTGTATTTAAAGTACGATTACAAAGTCAGAGTGGGGAGTCAGAGTTCACAAGATCTTTGGGAGGAATGTGTAAGTAGCTGGACCTATGTGTAGATATGAATAGTAGCTCTCGGTGTCACACCACCCCTACCTGGATGCTAATGGTAGAGTCTGGTTCATATATATACCGGCTGGAGTTCAGTGTCTTTCTGTCCTTGATGTGCTTTCAGGGGAACCTGAAGAACTTCAGGACGTGTAAAAGTAAATGTTTGAGGTGTGATAATCCACTAAAACATGAAGCTGTGACCAAGTCTGGATGCTGTTCTTCATTGTCCTGCTCGTGTTTCTCGGTGGCTGCTGCCATCCTGACTGAAGTAAGAGGCAACTGGTTGTTAAAACCTGAAGGAGGAACTTTAACCACATTTGTTTAGTTTAGAAATGTTCCTAAAGCTAGCGCTGGATGTGCTGCTTCAAAGCGTTGATTACAATCTGCAACCGAACTCTGAATCTGCAGAAAGTTGAAGGAAGAGAGCAGATTTGAATTGTTCATTCATTCATTCTACATACGAGCATGTTTCATATTTCAAACCTTCATCTGCTGCTAACCAGCTAACAGCACATCATTTGCCTCTTATTCATATTTAGATCCTTCATTTAAAATATTGACATTAAAGTCCTGAAAATAAAAGTATTTCTTTCAGAACCGTCTGTACAGTCTGATCTCACTGGATTATAATTATTGGTTCATTAGAGCGTACCTCACTTTATTGTTGGAGCTCCGTTTGTATTTTTGTTTTATCTTTCTGCTTCTATGTGTTTAAAAAGTGCAAATAAAACATACCTGATGCTGATCTACATTAATGTAACGTCATTTCTTTGTCTGTTTTATATGAATCATGTTTGAAATGTTTGCAGGTTTGTTGTGTTTCTATTTTCTCCTCTTGTGATGAAATAAAAGAAAGATTTGTAAATGAAGCTTTGTGTCCTGCTCTTCTTTTCTCTTCTGCTTACTCCAATGACAAATATTGAGGACACACAAATCCTGCTGCATCTATGCTCGTCTAAAGTCCTGAAGTGTGACGGTGAAGAGCAGAAGGTTGAAGCTTGTTGAGCTGACAGCAGCTCTGAGGGAGAAGCTGAGCTGGTCCAGAGCTGCTGGCCTCAGATTTTCAGGATTTGTGAGAAATTTGAGAGGTTGGTAGTTCGATTCCCGAGTCCAAAGCGATTTTTTCTAAGTTTTTTGGGCTCCACCCCTGAGCCGCCCACATCCCGCCTCTGGCCGGCCCCCTGCTCCGCCCAGACTCCGCCTCCATGACCACTTTATTAGGAACACTTTTGAATACGCCAAGGGGAAGACGACGAAATGTTCTTTTAACCTGTTTGGTAGCACAGTAGAATAAGAAGCTGCCTCTGGAGCAGCTGGTTATGGGTTCGAGACCAGCGTCTCCCCAGTTTTAGAGTTATTTTATTTATTTGTCAGTAGAAATAAAGTCTACTGACGGGACTCGAACCTACTACTTCCACACTCCCAGCCTCTCCTCTTACTCACTGAGCTATTCGTTCAGTTACTTTTTACTGAGCTCCGGGCGTATTTGTCATCTTCTTTTGCCCCTTTTTGGACTTTGAAAATTTTTTCACCCTGACCCGTCGTCTGCTGTCGTGCCCTTGAGCCTCGGGAGTAAAGACGGCCCACTCTCTCAACACTGACCATGCTGTCACACAGCCAAGCCAACCCTACATCAGCCCCACGCAGGATCCCAGCCACCAAAGCCTCACAGGGACCAGCATGTGGAGACCCTCACCATCAGCTCACTGCTCTCCAGCACCTTCACCTCTTGGCTTTGTCTTCACGCATCAATCAATCCGTCTCAAGCTCAAACCACTCATGGCCTCAACACTTCTTCACTGGACGCATTCC